ATCAACACTATTATGAGTATAACTTTTCAATACAGTTGTTGGTATGTAAATTCAAGAGTTTAGTGACAGATTTGGTGGGGTAAGTTCCAAATTGCTTATTTGTATGGAAACCATTGAACTCATTAGATTCATTTTGTGACTTTAACCAATCAAATTTACTAAGGTTGAGTGAGTTGTATCCGGATGACTTTTGCAACGAGGAAAGGACGACTTTTCAGCAAGAACTTCACTTCTACATCCGTAGTGTGCATTAAGATGAGAAATTTGCCAACTTGAAAGGTATATCCAATATGACTAACTTTTTTTTGTTACTTAAAATGACAAATGTAACCAAATGTACAACTTGTTTTCCTTACTATTTTAAAGCTATATCCGAGCTTGTTAGAGTGACGATAGAAACAAAGAAACGTCTTACATTTTCTTTGGTATATCGGTTATTAAGTTAGCATTGGTCTTGTCGATTGCAACGACAACAATTGAGAGATCGATGCATTTTTGCAATGAAGATTGCAAAGTCGGATTTGTGCATTCAAATTGGTGATGCTTTTTGAATGCATGTCATATGTGCTTGATAACTTTCATATTTAGTGTTATTTACATATTGTTTGTATATGTTTTTTCTTCCATTTTAGTGTGTGTTTTTCTTCCATTTTAGTGTGTGTGTTTTTCTTCCATTTTAGTGTGTGTTTCCCTTTATGTTTTCATGTTTCTCCATTTATTTATTTACTTTCATTTGGAGTTGTTGAGGATAAAAGTTTGTGTTTTGATGGTTGGAAGTATCATTTTTGGGTTAAATGTTGGATTGTGGAAGGTGGCCACTTAGTCACCATTGTGGTGAGCAACATAAATTCGAGGATAGCTGAAAAATATCATTATTTGCATGTAATCGTTTGCTTATTTCAGCTGCATTGTGACATTATTGAAGGTCAAACTCTTGAGATAAAAAAAATGACAACCTAAAGGGTTAAAGGAGGGAAAGTAAAATTTGAGCTTTCATAGTGGAGGAACAAGGCAAGGAGCCTTTTGGTCAAAGGAGACTTGAGTTCATTGAAAAACTTTGTGGGTAAAACCATCCACGACCTTTTTTATCCTATATTATAAATAGAGGCTTTGGGATTTCATTTAGAGAGGACTCTTTGGCAATGTAGAACGCTCCGGCCCTTATTTCTACATTTCATTTTTTAGATAATCGTAGTTGTAATTTTTTGCATGTATGTAACTTCCAGCACTACTCGCCACTATAGCGACATAGTGGCCCGGTTTGTAGTTTATTTCTTACTGCAAGTAAATTTTAAGTATTCTTCTTATTCTAGTATGTTTTTTACTTTAAGTATTAGCTAAGCACCCCCATTGGGTGTGGATGTTGGTGTGAGTCAAATTTAAGATTAGTAGGCAACATTTGGGTGCTGCCATCGTCTCTTGGTTGGTTACTCGAGTCAAAGCTTTAACTCAACATGGACAAGATAATCACTTGAAAGTGTTAATATTAGGTCCCAGACCCATATATGGGCGGATTTTGAAATACTGCTTGAATGATGCAAGATTTGAGATAATTTTTTATAATCATGTAGAGATAGGAATTTTTGTATGATTTTAACTAAGTTCCAAATATCGGTCGAGAGTAGTGTTACAAAGATATTTGAGCACTCATCTCCATACTGGTAGAACTATGACTCTTGGAAATTGTAACACCCCATACCACACATTACATGTATCACATACTTCATTCATAAGAAATACATGTTTATACATCATTCATGTCTCATAGTAAAAGAATCTACCATACAAAATACATAGACCAAAAATTCAAAATACATTTCTTGTACTAATCAATGTTCATCTATCAAAACTATAGACATCATAGACAAATCTTCATGCATATATGTGTAAGGAAAAATATCATATTTTCCCTTTTCCCTCACCGTTAGCACCTCCTGCAACACATATTTAAAATCACAAAATGAGGGTTAGACCGGAAGGTCTAGTGAGATCCCTTTTTATGTCATTGCAGGGTGAGAATCACTAAAACTTTATTTAAAACAACTTTTCATATATATAACAAATATATGAACAAGTAAAACATAATACCAATACCTTAACAATTCCAAAGCCAATCTTTCGGCTTTTAAATAACGCATCCAAACCTAAATAGGTTTGAATCAACCAAGTTTTTCATAATGCCAACTTTTAAACCTTTTCAATTAGAACAAAGTTTATTAAATTTTCATGCCAAAACCTATTATCCCTTCTAAATAACATCCAGACTACGATTTTCCAATAAGAACACTGATCCTAAACCTTTAAATCACAAAGAAATAAAGATTCCAGACCACAGTAATCTTAAAGGATATAACAGTAAGAGTTATATCACATAACATACATACAAATGCCACCCTTATATCCAAAGGTACGCCTCTCCTTGATATGCCATCCTCATCCCATGGTACACCTCTCCTTGATATGTCACCCTTATCCCATGGTACACCTCTCCTTGATATGCCACCCTTATTTCCTCATCAAATCATTTTATAAAAATATTTCCAATTAGAACAGACCGCATTCATAAATGTCCTAATGGAACATTATCAGTTCAAAATCATGTTTACAAAAATTATCATTCTTTATCATCATAAAAGAATAATAATAATTAATTTTGAACTTAACACTTTAATAAAAAATGCAAAACCGGTCAACTTAACAAGCTTTGGTTGGTTTAGACTTGACCGATATAACAATCCGGACAACATGTCCTCTTGTCCGATTTACATATCCGGATAACTCAATTCCTTCTTGTCCGATTTACAAGTCCGGACATCACAAGTCTTCTTGTCCGATTTACATATCCGGACAACTTGGTATTAACTTGATCGAGCTTTGTCCGGTTTACATCTAAACTGGACATTACTTCATTCGGATTATAAACAAATCTGGTAGCTTTGATCGTATTCCTACTTCTCCGTTCAACATCCATGTCTGATTTATATATTTCAAATCTCACTAACACTTTAAATCACATAGCACTATGATCAATTTAAGGCTATATCGAATAACATGTGTCCGATTTAGCACAAACCGAACATCACTTTGTCCGATTTAAGTCTAATCCGGGTAATAAGTTATAACACAAATCAGTTATGCAACTCAAGGTAATTTTAAAACATTTAACCACTCACCTTTGAAACAATTTTAAAATTCAACTTCTTGAAATACAGTTAGAAAGCAATCCGATCAACCCTACTTTCTTTAAATTGCTCACTAGCTCTCAAAATGGCAAGAAATTCACAAATTAATTTTACCTTCTATTTATATCCTTCCATATATTTAAGACGGCCAGGAACCCACATGCATGCATACATACATCACAATCTTAAGACCCATGCAAGAATCTTTTTATACACAAATATAACCATCCATGCATCCCTTATGCATGATATACCTTTCATGCATACAATCACATGCATAATCATGCATATAAATAACCATGCATACTCACATATTTTTAGTTATATGTTTTCACATTATGCATACACATTTATGCATAAAAAACACCCATACTTGCATGATCAACTATACCAGTTTATCATGCTATCAAGTAATCATATAACAAATAATCACGTATTAATTATCTCAGGTGATAATCAATATACGGTTATCACAAAAATCAACTTAGTTGGATCGGCAAGTCGCTAGTTGGCAAAGGTGGTGACTCTATGGGAATATGTAGTCACTCTTTGTGGAAGTTCACTTTTGAAAGAAAGGGACTTTTATAGACGTTTTTGTGGCGAATGCCTTTAACCATATCGTTTTTTTTAAGTATATAATATTTATATATGGTAAATAGAACAAATAAACTCACACACCCTTATCACCTTTGGTGAGGTTTGAACCCTTGACCTCCTAGAAGGCCAAGGATTCACCATATCGTTACTACAAATGTGTTAGGGAAAGCTTACACCTATACTCTTTTCTTTAAATTAATTGTTTTTAATTATTTGTAAAAAGCATCGAACACGATCAAAGATATTATTTTCTTCTCTAATTGAAATCATTGTATTGTTCACTTAGTACTTGAAACTCTGAAGTTCGATCTAAGTGGATACGATCTCAGTAGTACTACCACTTTATTATTTGTGACGATCATAATGTCCGATGTACACTTATACCGCAAACGCAAACATAGATGGCCACTTCTGTGGACTTATATGATTTGTGCTACTGATGTCGTAGAAAGAAAAGCACTTGCCAAAGTTACGAACGAAGATGTAATAAATCGCTTTCAAAAATTGAGAACTCAAAGAACAATTATAAAATGTAAGTTATTTCTCATTTCTATACTTATTTAGTTATTATTTTATTTTATATCATGTTAATTAAAATCCACCCCTTGTCATCGGAATTCCTAGATCCGTCACATCTTGCTAATAGTTAGCTTGTTGCATGTGTTATCTTGAAGATAATTTGAAATGCTTGGGGCGGGTAGACATGGTCGTCGATAAAAAAGATACGATCATCGTGGCAACGGCCGATGTTGATCGAACAAAAGGGTAGTTTTCTTTTTCCTTCTCTCACTATTTTTCGCCGAACAAGTGCTAACCAGTGAATACATCTAGACGAAAAACATGCTACTTTATCAAAAACACAAAGTTAAAAATACATCTAGAACCTACAATTTTAATAAAATTGTTGTGCTATGGGAAAAAAAATGGTGTTACTCTCCAAATACCAATCTCATGGTCATCATGAAAAGGTAAAAAGCAGTTAATATAAATTTCACCTAAAAGCATATTCTTGACCTTCGATAAACTCCACCCTAAGCCGGTCGATCGCTACTTCAGACATCCTTTATCAAACGCAACAACTTGGACAGTATACTTTCATCATTTTATCTGTCATGACACAAGCGGTTGGACCAAGAACTAACAAAGGGTTATAGAAAACCTTTCGACAATTCTTTTGAAATGCATAACCTCCTGACATATTTAAGCAAATGATCGGATTGGTAAGATCGACAACCACACATACCTACTTTGTATTAATGAGAAAATGGTATGATAAATTCGTCTGTAGCACAAAGTATACAACTCAGTGAAAACCATACATACATTCAAACTTCACCAGTACATATAACAAAAACTAGCATATTAGTAAGTACCAAAGTAATACCTTATTCAGATACAACCTGAACCTCTGAATCTTGTGGCAGACTGCTCTCTGGCTGTTCAGCCAAAATTGAAGTCGCGGTTTCTGAAACTACTTGCAGGGTAGAGCTCTCTGGCTGTTCAGCTGCAGTTGGGATATCGGTTTCTGAAACCTCTGAATCTACTTGTGGGGTAGAGCTCTGTGGCTGTTCAGACGTTTCGGTTTCTATTGGCACTGAAACTTCGACAATTTCCATGGGTTTGAATTTACTAATGTAGTAACTAAGTGACGGACCGGAATAATCTAATGTTTGTACTTGAGGTGGGTTTTTCCCTACTTGAAAGAGTACCACAGATGCAGCAGCAACGGCGATAAGGCCTCCGAAAGCAACTAGTGCTGCTGTATTCTCGGCTCCATCAGCAGATGTACCTGGAGTCCCGGAGCTGATTGCACTCTCTGCCACGTAAACTGCAGGCTGCACGAGTTTATCAATATCAAATTATTATTGTCTCTATCCTGTGAAAACACGGAAACAACCACTCTACTCATTGGGATAGACAAGGGAGGATTTAAGTAGGGAGGGATGCCTATGCCACTGCTCTACCGTGTCGAGGTAGTGGAATTGTTTTTTTGGTTTTCAGGTGCATCTGCTTTAACTTGATGCCTGGCTCCCTAAGTTAATAAAAATTGATTGTAGCCTACTGGTAGAGTGATTGCATGTGCATTATAGGTTGCAAATTCCAATCCCTTTGGCTTTCTTTTAAATTTTTTATAACAGCAGCAAAAGAATGAAAAAAAACCCCTTAGATGTCATTTTTAATGAAACTGTACCTTTTATAATTAATTTTTCTTTCATTTTATCTTATGCTAATTATTTTGTGCCCCACTCAAAAAAAAAAAATCTGCACCCGCCTCTAGGGTAGAGATAAGATTTGCATACATCTTACCGCCTGGACCCCACATCCGGGGGGATATACTAGGTTTGTTTGGTTTGGTTTGGTTTCAATCCTATGAAAACTGTAATAATCTATGTTCTTTTTGCAGTCATTGAAGCTAAAATTACTTGCTTCTAATTGTTTTGGTTATAAGTTGATGAATTACTGTTTTTGGTCCATAAGATTTCGTTATTGAAAGTTAAAGAAACAATTGACTAATAGTGAAACAATTTTATTAAACTACATGTACGGTCACATGGAATGGAGGGAGTGTTTTCTATGAGGTACAACTTCAAGTTGCCTAATTAAATGACTAGTGCTACTAAAAGATGAGATCAAGAAAATGCTGAAAGCTTTGTAGGGTTGGCCTACAAGTCGATCCCTAGACCTTGCATTCAATGTGCCCAATACACGACGGTCGCCCCCTCCGTTCCAAAATGAATGTCCACAATGAAAAAGGCACAAAGATTTAGAACTGTGTAATTATTACACTTTTTAATTAACTAAATGATAATTTTACCCTTTATAATAGATGGAACAATAAATTTCTCCATCTCATAATTAAGGGTAGAATTGGAAAGTGACACTTACATTTTGCAAATGGTCACGTATTTGGGCAAACTAAAAAAGAAATATGGACGATTGTTTTGGGATGGAGAGAGCATTAACATTTAAAAGGGTTATTTACCCACTTGGGGAAAAATCCTCGGCTGTCATATACAAAGGGTGACCCTGATATACAAGGTTGGACAAAGATGTCTTTGTACACGATATCTCCATAGCATTTTGCAAAATGGCCATCTTGTGGCTCGAACATGTGACCTTCATGCCATAGAGGATTGAGCTTGATGATTTAGATATCAAGATTCTTGGAGCCACTAACCTCAACTGAATATATATTAGTCTGCCCAGCAGTGTCCTTCTCCACATAACCGCTCCAGTCACGCCTACGAGGTGGGAATGTTCCAGCCACTTTGGTTTTCTCCCCGGCTAACCATTCCATGCTCACTTTCCCAACCTGTTTTTTCACAAAAAATATTCATCTGATTTCAATATCCATCCAACTCTGACTTCAATAGATTAACTTAAACAATATTTTAGACTATCATGTTATCTACTAAACTATCATTGATGTTAATGATTTTCATACAGAAAAATACAGTACGAACCAAAAATATTAGTTCTGTCATCTAAATAAATAAGTGGCCCGAGTCTCATCAATAGCATGGAAGTTGCTAAGCTTCAGTGTGAACTTCATTTATAAGATGAGATAATGCAGGATGTTCCTTAACCAGGAGCATCATCCTAGTACTGCATGTTGGATGTAATATTATGTCTTGAGAAAGCAAGAAACATGATGTTATTTCTCTTTTGAGTACTAGTATGAGGCCAGATAATGGTAGAGAAACCTTGTGAATTTCTACTTCTGATTTGAAGTAAATAACTGTGATAATGAGCATTTACGCACACCTTCAAGAATACACTTTTCATGAGTATCCCGACACTTGATAGTCATTTTGTTCATGAAAGGATGATGCGACTTCTAACAACCCTCATTTTCTTGAGCCACATGGTCTGCTTTGGATGTATTCGACATTATGATAACCCTTGCTTTGTAGGACAGTTGCTCACCAATTGGGTTGGTCCAATAGATAAGCCATTTCCAGCTGTCCGAACTCTGACATATAAAGTCGACTTCAGTATGTGTACGAGTGTATATAACTGTATGTATGTGTGTTTGATATTATCTTCTTGGGTTTTTATGATTTTGTAGTTTGACTCATTGGATTGCCTTCTACCCTGTTTATTCCTGTTTTGATGATGCTACTACACTTCCTGTGAACCATGGTTTACATGTATCAACCATCACATAGGGTTGCACTCTTCACCACTATGCCAATTGTATGCATGGGTATCCATGGGTCCAAAGGGATACTTGTAATATCCTCAGATTGAGTACCCAAAAATTGTAGGTACTTTTGTACAATTGCACCCATACTAGTTGTATCTGTGATGGAGCAAATGTACCCAAACTAGCCTATTGCCAAGTCTACTGAAGCTACCTTTGGTTTTTGAAGAATTTCGGAATTGTGGTCTCTCCCATCCCCAGTAATAACAATGTCGTCCATTTAGAATACCATTCTGCCTAAAAATCACCAGGGAATAGTACACTACATGTCATCCCAAATTGATCCATAACATAGGGGATCTGAGAAAAATAAAACAAAGAACTTGATTTAGGCCACATAGAGACCATGTCACCTACGTCAATGGAGGCCTCTTAAAACATCCATGTCAGGAACAACAGTGATGAATGGGATATCAATACTAAGCTAATGCAATGGTTAATATCGAGTAGTTGTTTCAGGAATAACAATCTGTATTAACATCACCTTCTTATAGTCATCACCAGGTGTTAAAGAGTACCTACCGTACTTGCTTTCGCTCGAGCAAAGTTTGATTCATAGTGTAAAAGCATATACCCACTTTCACCTCGTAAAGTCCTTAGCAGAGGGAAGATAAACAAGATTCCATGTCTAATGAATGGCCTATCTCTATCGGGATCTGATCTGGGTTTAGAAAGCTTAAGATAAATATGATAACCATGCACAACTGAGATATACATCCCAACGAGAAGAACGATGGACAAAAGAAAATTAATGAGAAACAGGATAGTCAACTCAATAGGCTTACCAACATTTGTTAGGCAATTGATCCACTTTTACAAGGCATACCATAACAAGGAATATCTGAGGATGGCGCTTGAGGTCCAAAACTAGAGTCATGGAAGAGTCTGAAAGAAAAACGCTGCCACTAAGGGTTGTATTGGTGTCACTTCCACCTACAACAAGGAGCAGGGATGTAGTCATGCAGGGACGTAGCCACGCAGGGATGTAGTCACCATTGTCAGATGGCTAGAGAGTTAGAAGGGCAAGTGGAAGCAACCTCAACAAGCAATACTAGAGAACAAAGATATGAAGACTACCTGTTAGGACTAAAATAGTCCTAAATATTAGAAAGTTGTATAAAGTCCTTTTACTTGATTTGTATTGTATTATTCATGTAATTGGGCTTAAGGGCATATGGGCTTTACTTGTAAATATCACCTATAAATAGGTGACATGGGCTTAGAATTTGGTGTTGATCATTCTTGTAATCCCTAATGAAAGTCGTTTTTTGGTTAGAGTTTTTTAAGGGCTTTGTATTTTACTGTTTTCTTGAATAAGAGAAATCGGTCGGTTCATCATGTTCTTGATCATCTTTAATCTCTCAATTTCATCTATGTTCTTGAATTGCTATTAGATCTGGGATCCACAATTGGTATCAAAGCAGAATCAAATCATCTATTCGATACGATCATTCTATCTACAGCAAAATTCAAGCAAAATTTTCTGTTTTGGCAATGGAACAATCCTCTCATGAAAACAATTTCCTGTTCGACTATTTTGTGCTTAAAAGATCAAATTCGTCATTGATTTCAATGTTTTAATCAAATTCCTTTGAAAGAATTTGCATTTCGGTGAATATGAACTCAATTCAATCATCTATTTTTGGGGTTATTTGATAAATTTTGAAGATTTGATGATTTTTTGGTCGAACTATGTTTTGATACTGTCAGATCCATCCTCATCGCTCGTTGAATGTTCATATTGAGCGATAAGGGGTGTTCATCTCCCATTGAAGATTTGAAGCAGTTTTGAGCGATGAAAGAATGTTTATCGGCCAAAAGAAGCGTTGGTAACTTGGCCTTAGTAAACTGTGTTGAGTGATAAAATGTAGACTTAAATGAATTTTTGCTAGTTTTGAGCGATAACCCTTGTCATCGCCCAAAGCTTGCCCGATAACCATGCCTCATCGTCCAAGTCATAAGCCTTCAAGATGCTATCCGCTCAACGTTATGAGCGATAACTGCCCTCATCGCCTAACACACCAAGCGATGAAGAGTTGTTTGGTGGGCGGTGACCTTACTTAAACAGTTTGCCTTGTTACTTTAACATTATAAGCGATACAATGTTGCCCGATGAACTATCAATCCACCCAAAGCTTCAAGCGATGACATCCTTGATTGAGCGATGAAAGGAAGTTGAAATATATCCGCCCAAGGCATGAGCAATTACATTGCTCATCGCACAAGGCATGGGCGATATACAGGTTTCATGGGGTATCCGCCTAAGGCATGGGTGATATACAGGTTTCATGGGGTATCCGCTTAAGGCATGGGCGATAAGATGACACAATCTGTGCTCATCGCCCATCTCATGAGTACTTGTCCATCTACTGGTACAAGGTGGTGTGGAATAAAGCTTGCATTCCTAAACATGCTCTGTGTATGTGGATGGCTTGTCAGAACAGATTACCAATACAAGATCGCATTAGTCAGTGGAAGCATGAACCTCCGGATTTGAAATGTGTTTTCTGTAATTTAGTGATTGAAACGCACAATCACTTATTTTTTTATTGCAACTACTCGAGTAGTATATGGGAGGTTATTAAAAAGGAAGTTGGGATAACGAATTGTCCGAACAAATGGGAGGACATTCTTAACAGGGGTTTATCTCAAAGGTGGAAATCATGGTCTACGGTACAAAAACTTGGTATATCGGCTACGGTATACCACATATGGAGGGAAAGGAACAGAAAATTCTTTGACAATTACAATCAAGCTGGCGAAAAAGTTGTGGCGGAGATCAAGATTCAGATCTTCAAAGAATGGCGTGGAAGACAAGGAAGAAATTCACAAGAATCATGATGCGTGATAAAGTGCATGATGAAGGCTTTCGGTTATGGAAAATGGCGGGGATTTGCTCCTTCTATTTTTTGGCTTGCTTTATTTTTACTTTTTGGTGCATTTCTCTTTGTCTTTTTTGGCTTCTTATGGCTTGGTTTGTAAGCCAAAGTTGCCGTAGCTTTTCTTGCTGATTACTCTTTGTTTGGTTTTGCTCTTATTTGTTTTTATAAAATTGCCTGGGGAAATTCCCCTTTCAGTACTCTATGAGCTCAATCAGTGTGCTTAATGGATTTCTTTGCCCAATTCACCTTGTGCTTAATGATTAAGGCGATGTTTTATCATTGTTGCCCTTAAGAGCATCAACAGCAACATTGTCAATTTTGACTTTTCAAAGTCAAAGTTTGACTTTTTGGTCAACCACTTTGAGGTTAATGACCGGATTTGAATGGATTTCAGAATTGTTTGATTGGTTTTGGTATTTGATTTGACTAGTCAGAGTTTGAGTATCTGCAATCGTTTTTCTGGAGTTTTTCTACAAGAGGCTAGACCATTGAGTGTCTTAAATTATTTCTTTTGACCTGATCAATCAGAGGTCTTGAAAGTTTGCAATCAGTGTTCTAGAGATTCTGGAATTATCAGATCTTTGAGTGTTCTCAGTCATTCTTCTAACCTGATCAATTAGAGGGTTGAAAGTCTACAACCATTGTTATGTAGTTATGGTTGTGATCTAGAGTTCTGAGTGCTAATAATACTCTTCTGGCTAGGAATGTCGAATCTGATTCTGGTTATTCAATCTTTTGAAAGTTTAAAGGACATTGGCTTATCTTTTTTGGTTGACTTGTTGTTTTTGAAGCTATGTGTTTAATGTTGATACTTATCTCCGGTTCTTAATGTCAGAGGTGTTTGCCTTGGTACTTCAAGCAGATGTTGTACCCCACTTTATGTGCTTACCAAGATCAAGTTCTTAAGTTGAATGCCTATTCAGCTCGTGGTTCATAGAAAGATTATTTGTTATAAGACCGTTTGCACTGGAATGTCACGTAACTCGCACGTTTATCTATCCCATAGTTGGATGAATCTATTGTTTTCCTGTTGATAATGATTTCGGGGTTCTAGGTTGTGTTGAGTTGTCTGCAGTTATAGTTGTACTTTGGGCAATCAATGGTGCTGAATTCACATTGGATCTTATTTCAAAGTTGAAACTGAAGAATAAGAGCTTTATTTAGGGGGGAGCTTGAAGATTTCATCAATGTCGGCACACCAAATTTTTCTTAAAGAAAGCAAGGGGAGAAGACTTCAATGTTCCAAGAGGTGCTTGCTTTATAAAACTTTGGGGGGAGATTGTTAGTACTAAAATAGTTCTAAATATTAGAAAGTTTTATAAAGTCATTTTACTTGATTTGTATTGTATTGTTCATGTAATTAGGCTTAAGGGCATATGGGCTTTACTTGTAAATGTCGCCAATAAATAGGTGACATGGGCTTAGAATTTGGTGTTGATCATTCTTGTAATCCTTAATGAGAGTCGTTTAGTGAGATTTAAGAGCTTTGTCTTTTACTGTTTTCTTGAATAAGAGAAATCGACCGGTTCATCATGTTCTTGATCATCTTTAGTCTCTCAATTTCATCTATGTTCTTGAATTGTTGTTAGATCTAGGATCCACGCTACCCAACCTCACAAGACGTAATAGTTAAGAGGAAAGACCTCAATCCAGATAGTAGAACATTGCTTGCTACTTTATGATTATGTGTATGAGATAAAGATTCAAAAGGTTTTTCATGATCAAACCAAGAGAAAAGTTATGAATACCAAACAGAACCAATGATTGTTCGATCAACATGGAGAAGAGACGCCAAAAGAACTAAGATACGTCTTAAGTATTTCTTGTACTATAACAATAAATGATGTACAATTTGCTTTATTTTGATGTTAAAACTCAATTCTGAGACATTGATGAGAACATGACTATAAATCGAACATGGTACATGATGATCATTCATAACCATATTACAAATACATCCAAAAGTATCTTAAAATCTAGAAAAAGAAGATACCCGTTGACATTATCATTGCATTTTGACGTAGACAAATTGGATCATTGAAGAAAAGGTGTTTTGAACCTACATACTGTACCTAGTATGCATCATGCTAACTCAATTCTGTGAACTTACAGGCTGAGATGGCACCCTATCTTATACCAAAAGTGAGTTGCTTTATTCCCACAAACATTTGTCTTCTAAAGTATCTTTTAGACCATGACCTATGCTCCAATTGGTCTAGCAAAAAGCAACCTCCACTTTTGGATACCTCTATGTGTACCTATAACAACTCATACACAGAGAAAAACGAAGTTGCAACCAATGGGAACGAAAATTCACAGAAACAGAAACCTAAAATCATCCAAAATTTGGAGGCCGCATACAAAATATTATCTCCATATTCAAAGTTTGTCAACCTTCAAAGGTGACACAATGTTTTAGAGCCCAGTTCATATTACGCTCCAAAGAAACCAGAATTACGAAATTAATGTGGGAGTACCAAAGAATAACATGGTTAAGTTCCTAGTCTTACTACATATGCAGATCCCATGCATAGTTAACAAGTTACATTGGTGCCTTCCATTGTCTGCTTCCTATTGTAATTATGGACCAAGGAGACAAGGTGTGGCAAGTAACAAGAAACCAACAGCAAAGCAAAGCAAGGTGAGACATAGGATGCATGGTGTAGGAGTCAGTAAGGCTTCAAGGTGTTCACCATGTAAAAAAATTTACGTACATAACTATATGTACACTTCACTAATAAAGGTTTAACATCGAATGAAAAAAATGAATGCATCAAATCTTAGATATATATAACACACTAATACTAATATAAACACATATAAAATCTATAGTACATGTTTGATAAGGAGTTTGAAGAAAATAAAATGAGCTAGATTGCTGAGAGTTTGGTTGAGTATCAGCTAAAAGAAATTGGACTGGAAAATGGAAAACACAAAGGCCCATGACGTTAGTTCTATAATGGTTTAGAGGAAAAACCAATTCAATGTACATTAGCTCAATGAGAAGCCATCATTTCAGAATTTACCTTATCTTTTTCATGATGAGAAGCCATCATTTCAAAATTTACCTTGCTTTTTTCATATGTGTCCAAATGGAAAGGATACCCAACAAGGAAAGTGTTGACCTCTTGTTCTTTGAGATTTTATTATTCCATGTATTTATCATGCTTCAACTAAAGCAATTTTTATTTATATATAACAGATTAAGGTATTCTAACTTTTGCTTTCCCTTTACTTTAAGTTACCTGGGTAACAGAAGCGTGCGATCAAAGACAAAAAGCATCTCAAATGCAGTTCCGTCACAAGGATGCGCTCAGTGGAGCACCTTGAAGCCTAAGCTACCTTTCGGGTTCAAAATAACTAATCATGGATTTCTTACTTGATGATGCTACATAGCATCCACAAACCAACAAGGGTCCATTTAGTTTGCATGAATTTTGCTACAAGCTCAAACAAACAATTCCATTTACAAGACTAATTGTTATGAAAGAATCAAGAAGGCTTATCAAAACTTCAAAATTGTTGCCAATTATTCAGCGGAGCAAAGAAAAATGTGTTTAATCAAGTAAATTTGATAACTGCGTCAAACTTCATAACACAAAATTCATGATAAAATGGTTATTAAATCTGCATTTGGAATCACTCTATCTGAAGTCTGAATTACACAAAATTCATGATAAAATGTGTCTATTTTGAGCATTCGAATTGTGCTCGCAAGCTATAGCGAACAATCCCAAAACATAGTTTTCCAGTCCCATATCAAACCAGTAAAGAACGATAGGCTAATACCTCTTTGTCGGGGGCGCATTCTTCAGTATTGCAGTCCTCTTCTTCATTGGAGGAAGCTCGAACTTTGAAGAAATTAACATTTTGCTTCTGCTGTTTCTTATAGCGATTGTTGTTGAAGAATTGTATCCTCATGTTCGTGCTACAGCTGCTTGCTGATGATAATGCGGCAGCAGACGAAGCCATTTGATTGAATTCAGCTTCGATTATTCTTGGAAATCAAAGATATGCAGATTGAGATACCGTCAGAATATGAATCAGACAATTGATTCTGCAAATGTCTGTGTTGGTGGTTTGAGATTTCTTTTGGGGGTTTTTGTGGCTGATTTTGAGCAGGCGTTGGCTTCATTTCCAGCGTCGATTGCTTTAATCTGTCTGCTGCATGGCATCTTAACCAGATCCGACCCGATCGCTTATAGATTCAATATTTTTGTTAAGATTTGATATGATACACTTTTTTTTATTTTTTAATAAAATATAAATTTAAAAATATAATAAAATTTTAAAAAACATACCGATATTAATATCAAATTAACTTTTTAAAAATTGTCGTTGGATAATTTTATAAATTCAATTTATTTATTATTAGGTTTAATAACATTTTTTTTGTTTAATGATATAATTTTTTATAAAGATAATAAAGTAAATTACATGATTGGTCCATGTGGTTTACACAAAATAACACTGTGCTTCCTAGGAAATTAGTGGTACATGATTCTCACTCGAATTATTAGAAAAGATCGAATTTTGACCTTGATTTGGGGGTTGGTCGTTCGACCCTTGTCCCGCCCCACTCGTACTTGCTCTATTCTTGTTACCTTTTTCCATTTGACAATCTCTCTTGAAATGTCTGATTTGACCACATATCCAACTAGCCATTTTCGAATTTTTGTTGGATCCATTTTTGGGGTTCTCGGACATTCGATTCTTATCCTTATCTTGCCTTTTCTTGGTCGTGTGTTTACACTCCTTAAGCATGTTGACATTAGATGAACTAGGGACATCCTTATCCTTGGCCTTACCACTTTCTTGCATATGTAGTGATTCCTCAACACGTAAGTGGTTGCCAAGTTACACCAAGAAAAGTTTTTCCCTTTTGTGTTTAAGTGTGTGTTTGAAATCTTTCACGAAGGTGGCAACTTGTCAATTATACTTGATACAGATATGGATTCATCCATATTCATATGGTGTTGAGTAAATTGATCAAGGATCCGAAGAAATTCATTGTATTGCTCCATTATGGTGTTGGAATAGCAGTGAATGTAGCCGATCCATCACTTATGGCCATTCCTGTTGCCATTCCTCTTGAAGACGTCATAGTTGTTGGTCCTCCACCAACAAGAAATACACACAGAGCTAGGGTCCCTGCTCAAGGGACCAGAGTAGTCACTCCGGCTTTGAGGCAGAGAGTCCCTGTCAAACCAACAAGAGCAGAAGAAAACGCAAGCAGCAGGCCTCGGAGCACCAAAATTCCCTCTGATCGAGTTCAAAAGATCAAGGATAGGATGGATGCAATGATGACACCAATACCCCCAGACAAGCCAATAAAGGACAAGGCAGACAGCGAAGACATCTACCAGTTTCTTTACAACCTGCGAGAGGAGACACTGGTCATCAAGATCAATCTTCATCCAATGGTCCAAGAGAACATTAGACAGAGGTTTCTACATCGCTACACACAGCCTATCTCTACAGTCCACTTTGTCGATGGAATCAAGCAAATCCTCGACATCAAGAAACGTACCTTCGCGCACAATCAGATCGTCTTCCATGAGTATATGGTGGAGAGGTCTCACGGATAGATTTGCACATTCACAGATTGTGATCTTATAAATTTGAATCCGTGGGACCTTCTGTCTCTGTATTTCTTCACGGATCATAGGAAGGATAAGGGGCTCAAATATGTTGTGGCCAATTCTGCTATACAACAGACAATGATAGACCTACTTGACTTCAGATGCAAGTTTGACTTTCAACTAGCTCTGGACCTGGGAGTTGATCAATTAAGCATCGCTGCACCAAACGAAGATCTGCAAGGCATCAATAGCATTCCCTCATGGACTGTGTTGGTGGAACCAAAGGTGGGGGTGGTCTTCTGAAATGCACAAGGAAAGAAGATATTTTTTCGAGATGCCAGAAGTACAAGTATTCAAACTCCACTATGCGCTACATCAGAGCTTACTTAGTCAGGAGCAGAGATACCTCACCTGGAGCAAAAGAAAGAGCAAAAATTATCCTGAGGTCAATTCACAACATGCTGGAGTTTCGCGAACTTCTTAGGAGGTTTATCAAACTTCAACACATCTAGACCTTATTTTTGTAAGTTTTTTTATCTTTTAAGTCAATGTAATTTCCTTTAAAATCGTATTGTACTTTCTAGATAGTGAATGTAAAACAGAGATTCCTTTTAACCTCTGGCTTTGACTAGACTTATGTTTTCAATTCAAGTAAGAGTCTGCCTTATTTACACTTAGGAGGAGATTGTTAAACCCCATCTTATGAAAGTGTAAGTAAGAAGTCTCTTACTCTAGTCAATAGGACTTAGTCTATTGAAGCGGTCAAGAACCAGAGCTCTTACTCAAAGAGTGAAGGTTCCCTTCATACAGAGCTCGCGCTCAATCTCCGTGGACGATCAAGCCTTATGCGCCAAAAATCTTAAGCGCTTGATGCAAAGCTACAACTCCAGACACAGAGCCTCTGCATAGTACATGTAGAGTTTGTGTATAATACATTATACATACAGAGCTTCTGGTCTCCTTCTCCATGGAACGCGCATGCAAGCCCAGACATTCTCGCAAGCGTCTAACAGATTTGAGGTGGCTTGACCTAGTCTGCTCCACTTTTAAGGGAAGTCAAAGATAAGGACGCAGACTCGGCGACTCAGAGATTCAAGCCTTAATTATAGCATAGTTGTTAGACCTAGGCGTATATAAGGAGGCTTCCTCCTCAAGTTCAAATTACCTGAGAGTGCCGACTTATACTATACCTATTTTATTGTGAGATTACGTTTTAGATTGATTGTTCTTAACTTTCATCTAATAAAAGCATTCAACATATTCAAGTCCTTTCGATATTCTTATATACTTTGAATACTTCGCTTAATCATCCTTTATACACTGCTTGTGTTTCAATCTTATTATTTATCAACTGTGTTTACTAGGAATTAAGAGTATTTGGGTTCCAACACAAACAATATTAAAATAAACCTGGTCAAGCTTTGTCCGGTTTACATCTAAGCCGGACAATACATCATTTGGGCTAGAACCAAACTGGACAACCTTGATCGTATTCCTACTTATCCATTCAATACACTTGTCTGATTTACATACTTAAAATTACACCAACACAATAATCCGGTCAACACTATGACCGGTTTTCCACTAATCCGGACAACACGTGTCCGACTTATGACTTAATCCGGACAACACTATTCGATTTAAAGTCTAATCCGGGTGATAGGTTCATAACACAAATCCGTATTCAAATTAAATGGATTACCATCCAAAATAGAAGAAAAATGATAGAAATTACTCACCTTATCAATTTTCTTTAGAATCGGATGAGTCCAACTTCAAAGTAGGCAATTCGGTCAACGCACACTCCTCAATTCTCACTCAGGTTTTCAAATTGGCAAAAGAAGAGTTATATGGGGGCTTAACCCTCATATATATACCTTTCCAAAAAGAGTAAGGCGGCTCTAAAGCCCCTTACATGCGTACCCATGCACCCATTTTAAAATGTATGTATGCAAACTCACATACCATGCATGACCCAGCTTTATGTGCATAACATATTTTTATCATGTATTTTCACATTATGCATACACATTTATGCATAAAGTTCACATACTCGCATGATCAAATATAACAATTTATCATGCTTTTACGTAATCATATATTAATTACCTCGGGTGATAACCAAGACTCGGTTATCACAAAGTGGCAAGAAGTTTGCTTCTCATCCTAACACTCCTATTTATACCTTTCCACAACTGGAATGGTGGTTAACCATCAAAACTCTCATGCATGCACATGCATACAAAATAAATTCATATATTCACATAACATATGCATACAATTCTCTGTATGAAAAATATACACATACTCACATATTAATCTCATGTAAGCATGTATCCACATGATCAACTATAACAATAAATCATATATTCACATAGTCACACATCAATAATCACATAATGATTACCTCATGTGATAACCAGAACCCAGTTATCACATTATCCACCCTTCAAAAGAATTCCGTCCCGGAATTCATTCAATCAAATAACCACGGATATTCGGTTCTCATTTCAGATTCTAACTCCCAGGTTACCTCAGATTCGGTCCTCACATTATTAGATTATTCTCTTTATTCTGCATAACCTTGATTTTCCGATCAGTTATTGCTTTTAGGGTTTCCACAAAGTTCAGCTTACTGTCTAATCTGACTTCGGGTAGCGGCACTGCTAGACTCAGATTTTCCAACCACTTCCGTAGATTAGACACATGGAAAGTGTTATGGATCGAACTAAGTTCTTCAAGTAAATGTAAATTATATGCAACCATTCCGACTCGCTTGTAGATTCTAAATGGCCCAAATCATGGACTGAGCTTACCTTTCTTAACGAATCTGACTACCCCTTTCCACAGAGTGACTTTCAGCATCACAAAATCTCCCACAAAGAATTCAATTGGCTTGTAGTGTCTGGGCATAGCTTTTTTGACGGTCTTGAGCTGTTTTAATCTTTTCTCTAATCTGCTCAATTTTCTTAGAAGCGACTTGAACAATTTCTGACCCTGTTAATCGTCTTTCACCCACTTCATTCCAACATATTGGCGTTCTGCACTTACGACCATACAAAACCTCATACGGTATTCCGACCATTTGTGGATGATACGTCGTACTTAGCTGAATCTGAGAACCCAAAGCTTTCTGAAAACTTACCCAGAATTTTGATGTAAACCGACTATCCCTGTCTAAAATGATAGTGTTAGCTCAATTATTCCTATTTTGTAAAAGTATAGAAAAAGTATACTGCAAGTCTTGACAGAAGGATAACTCCACAGAAGACCACAGAGGACTAACGACAGAAGCCGTTTGATCAATCAAGTTAAGAGTGGCAGAACCTCTGGTATGTCTCACAGAGGTTCTGGAAAATAGTCCTCTGTAATATAGAACATGCAAGTCAATTACAGCAGAGCCTCTGAGATGGCTCACTGAGGGTCTGCGGATTTCGTCTTTTGTGAAGTTTCTGTTCCATCAGTTTACAAAGGTTGTTAGCCGTATGTGCTTCTCACGTGACTAG